TTATATGCCTATAAAAAGTCTGAAAGGATGTACACAAAAATGCTCTTTCTGAGTGATCAGTTTATGGGTAATTTTTGTTTTCTTTGTGCCTTTCAGTATTGTGATTTTTTTTTTTAATGGTGATGTGGTGTTACTTTATCATCAGAAAAAATCCATAAAGACACTTGCCTTTCCTGGGAGGAATTTGGGGCTGGACGGTAAGTCAAGCTGGTCTGTTTCTTCTCTAGGTGGCCTGGGCCTCTCCAACACCATGTATGCGCGGCTAGGGGAAATCATCAGCCTGGATGCGTCGATCGCCGTGACCCTGGCAGGACACCAGGCTATCGGCCTCAAGGTCAAATGTCTGGGGTTTCTGTGTGATGCTGTCTGAAGGTCTTCTGGAGTCACGCAGTGGCATGGAGGCGGGAGGCTTGCTCACTTTACCAAGAAGTGAACGGGCTTGCTGTCTCAGGGTCTTGGAGGGGCCCGGCCTGCTCGCGCAGCCTTGCCCTGCAGTGCCTCACTCCCACACGTCCTCTCTCCAGCCGTGCATACGCACTCAGTCCCCACACACCACCCTTTGATCACACTGTCGCTTCCCTGGGAATCCTCCTCCTCTCCACGTCACCTTTGACCCATCCTGCGAGACCAGGTCAGATGCCCCGCCCCCACGGAGCCTGCCTTCACTTGATCTCTTGCACTGCTCACTCAGGGCCCGAGCATGTCCTGCCTGCTGTTTGTGCCCATGCCTTCCTCACCTCACTGGGCCCGGAGCACTTTGGGACAGGTCCAGGGTCACACAGCTCTTGGTGGCCATTCTGTTACTTGGTTGTTTTTGCTCAGCGTAGAAGTCAAGGAGCTGACTGGGCAGCATGCTCGGCCCCCCTGCCCTGGGCGCACGCGTGCTCAGGGCAGGCATTGAGCACAGAGGGGCCCTCCCCACCGGCACTGACGGGGAGGGTGGGACAGCCTGGCGTTGACTGCGCACCTGCTCTACGTCACACGTGCTCCGGCACTCCTGCATCTGCACGTTTTATCGTCCAAACCACCCCTCCAGTGGGTAGGATTATCCCGTGTGGAGGTGACGAGATGGAGACACAGAGAAGGGACGTCCCTTGCCCCTGGCCACCCATCCAGGAAATGGAGCTGTGATGAAAATGTCTGAGTCTGACCCCAAAGCTCTGCTCATCCTCTGGGCTCGGGCCACCCTGGAGGGTGCACTTGAGGTCGCTCCCTGGCAGCCTGGCTCCCCATTCTCCCCAGCAGCTCCCCATGTGTTACCTGAGGCTGTCGGCTCTGAGCTCAGGGCGTTTCCTCTGGCATGAAGTAGGTGTTTCTTCAGAAGGAGCCGTGTTCAGCACATTTCACACGGTCTCTTCTCCCCGCAGCTGAAATCAGCCTGTGTGTGTTTTGTGTAGGGCATCATCTTGGCCGGCAGTGAGGAGCAGAAGGCCAAATACCTGCCCAAACTGGCATCTGGGGAGCACATCGCCGCCTTCTGCCTGACGGAGCCAGCCAGGTCTGCCCCTCAGCGAGAGGTGTCACGTAACCGCAGCGGGCGACCTTCCAGGGTGCACTTGGGACAAGGGCTGTGGTTTTGTTGAATAGGTGGTGACTTACTTCTTCCCTCCCTGAAATCTTCCCGAGTCAACTCAGCAATTTTTCTTGCCAGGTCTCTTATCTTTATTTCTCTGCCCCAGTGAGACTCACAAATGAGATAACACACCTGACGGCACCATTAAATAATTTTTTCATAGTCTGCAGGACACCTTACGTATGATAATGCATTCAGGCTTCAAAGCAGCTTTCAGAGTATGTAGGGTGGCTGGTATTGTGCTCATTTTACAGATTAGGAACTGAGGTTCAGTGACATTGTGTGATCACCCTGAAGTCACACAGCTGGGACATAATAACAAGGCTGGTGCAGGACTCAGGGCTTGTGATGGCAAGTCTGTTTCTTGGACCAAACTCCATCCAGCTTCCCCACACTTGGGAACCTGGGATCTCCTGAACTCCTCCTCGCAGGAGCTCAGGTGGGCCTGTTTTGAGCATACATTGCCATGTTTGAACCTAAGCCCAAGTTGTTTTCACTGCCGCTTCTTTACCAGCTGTGATAAAGCGGGTGTCGGGGGAACCCAGCCCGCCACCTGTTTTTGTAAATAAAGCTGTTCTGGAGCATGCCTGTTTGTTCACAGACCGTCTGTGGCCGCCTTCCTGCCCCCGCGGCAGAGTTGAGGAGCTGGGACAGATATCTCAAGGCTGCAGAGCTGAATGTATTGATATCATCTGGCCCTTTATTTTAAAATTTGCCGACAGTTAAATTACCACAAGCGGCCATTGTGGGGCCCTCTAAACCATTCTTCTTTATTCCCAGCATTCCTCTCCTCAACCGCATCTCTGTGTCCCCGCAGCGGGAGTGATGCTGCCTCCATCCGGACCCGGGCCACGTTAAGTGAAGATAAAAGGCACTACGTGCTCAATGGCTCCAAGGTACGGCGCCACAGCCTCCAGGGCCTCGTCGCGTCTCCATCATGACCCACCCGTCACACACTGACCACTGTCCACGCACCAGGGACCCTAAAGGGCGTACACGGCATCTCTGACCACCCATTGGGGGGATGCTGCTCTCCTTTTTTGGAGGAAGAAACTGGCTCAGAGAGGTTAAGTGACTTGCCAACATCCTGTGTCTTCTCGGTGGCAGAGCCAGGATTGGAGCCCAGGCCTTCTGGCTCCAGTGTCAACATGCTTCCGTAGTACCAGCTACCTCCCGAGCTGCTCTGTGTGTTTGTTTTTAAATTTTTTTCTTATGCAAGTTTTGAAACACATATAAAAGTTTAGTGTTATGAGCTTCCACGTACCCGTCGCCCAGCTGCAGCAGGTGTTAGCTCACAGCCAGTCCTGTTCCTTCGTCAGCATCGCCACTGCTGGATTGCATCCTCACGATCTCAGCATGTGTCTCTACAGGATAGGACTGTTGGAAAACAAGGTCGCAATACCATCATTACATTTAAGCAACGGATAGTTATTTCTTACTATCTAGTTCTCATTCAAATTTCCGATTGTCTCATACCTTTTTATTTTTCAAACAGTTTCCGTGAATCAAGATCCAAATAAGTTCTGTACGTTGCAGTTTGTTGAGATGTCTCTTTATTTCTCCCTTTCCGTCCCTCTCCTCTTTCTCCCCCCTTCTTGCTCCTTTCTGCCTGCTTCCTACCCGTCGCCCCCTTTCTTGAGGAAACCCAGTTGTTTGGCACTAGACCTGAGCTGTCTTAGTTCCATTGGCTGCTCTTCTACACGCGCGCGCACACACAGACACACACCTGTGTCTCTTGGACAGTCCTTGCTCTGGGGTGACTGGGTTGAGCCCCTGTCTTCTGTTCATGCAGGCTTGGCTTCCCCAGAGCCAAGGGCTTTACATTTTGTCCTGAAGTTTGACAGGGAGCTGGTCCGTCTTGTGGCAGAGATGTTGCTGAGAGGTGGCCCATGATAGTCTGGTCTTCTTCAAAGCCCCTTTGCTTCCTTTCCTCAGGTCTGGATCACCAATGGAGGGCTGGCCAGTATTTTTACTGTGTTTGCAAAGACCAGCGTTGTTGATTCCGACAACTCAGTAAAAGACAAAATTACAGCGTTCATTGTAGAGAGAGACTTCGGTGGAGTCACTAACGGGAAACCTGAAGACAAGTTAGGCATCCGTGGCTCCAACAGTAAGTAGCACACGTGTGTATAAGAGAGAAAGAGGGAGGGAGGGAGACCCTTCAGCCCCATACAAATATCAAGATCAAATGAGATTTAAATAGTTTTGGTTCCACTGAAGCGTTTTAGCAGAATCAGATTAAGAATGCCACAATGACGTATCGGGCTTTGGTGATTCAAGGTAAAATACCTGCAGCGTCACGGAGCTCTCGGCCTTGTGAGGAGGGCGGTAGTGGGCAGCAGGAAGGACGGTGGGC